AATGAATGAATGAATGAATGAATGAATGAATGAATGAATGAATGAATGAATGAATATAACGATCACAATGATAATGCAGAAAAGGACCGCATACCTGATTTTAGAGATCTTGGTTGAACAAGAACATAAATTTGAGTAAGGTTGCTCAAATACGAGGTGGCTTTATTGTTAGAACAATTATGTGAAAGGTCAGCATTCTTTTGAGTAATTCTACATACTGACAGGACCCAAAGGAGGATTGATATTGTCATTCTTCCTCTTTTAAGTCATCATTCTCATAACCTTGTTTCAAAAGTTCTAAAGTATTGATGCTTGGAACACAATGTATTTGAGTACAGAAACAACATCGACATTTTAAAAAATAGCAGTTTAGTGCTGGGGAAATTAAATATAGAATCTAGAAACAACAGTTTTTTAATGTTGTAATTGTTGCTGCTGCTGCTTTTACTGCTGCTGCTGCTACTGCTGCTGTTGCTGTCATTGTTGTTGTTGTTGTTGTTGTTGTTGTTGTTGTTGTTGTTGTTGTTGTTGTTGTTGTTTGAGTAGCAAGAAACAAGTTGTGTACATTTAGTGACGGGGAAAAGTAAATCAGACACACACAGGAACAACAGAGTGAAAGAACCTCAGAACGCTACGATATATACGTACCACCCCCTAGCCATTCACACAACCGAAATCGCTTCTTTTTTTTTTTTTACATACTATATGAAAAGAAATGTATATACATATAAATTTCCTTATTTTTTAACCAACATAATACATATTCTTTTATTTCAGTCTATATTTCTATTTCCTTCATAGTATTTTCCTCCTTTTCTTATCCTCCACCCCCTCCCTTTCCGATTTACCACCCCCCCCCCCTACCCACTCACACCTCCCCCTAAAAACTGACCCTCCTCTTTGCTGGGGTCTTCGAAAACTGCTTACCTTACTGCCAACGAAATATCCTGTACCATTTTCCTTCAACAATTTCTCGAAGTAACCAAAAAATGGTGGGGTCTCTGTGTCTTTGAATGCGGCAATCTGTTCTTCCTTGGAAGGGAATGGAGTAAACAGTTTAGTATTATTATTATTATTAGTAGTAGTAGTAGTAGTAGTAGTAGTAGTAGTAGTAGTAGTAGTAGTAGTA